AGTCTTAAAGGAACACTCCACTATTTTTGAAAATAGGCTAATTTTCCAACTCCCCTAGAGTTAAACAGTTGAGTTTTACCGCTTTCGAATCCATTCAGCCGATCTCCGGGTCTGGCGGTAGCACTTTTAGCTTAGCTTAGCCATGGTACGGCAGCAAAGTTCCTTGATTATTACACCGGAATGAGAGTATAGTTCCTAGCCATATCGGCCTACAAAATCGCAACTATTCTTTTTTCGTCAGTCTTAGTACACGATGTAACTACAGAAGAGTCAAGTTTTAAACAGGAAAAATATAGGAACTCTTTGGTCATTTTTGAGTGAGATGCTAACGGTCTAATCAGATTCAATTATCTATGCTAAGCTAAGCTAAAGGTGCTACCGCCAGACCCGGAGATCGGCTGAATGGATTAGAAAACGGTAAAACTCAACTGTTTAACTCTAGGGGAGTTGGAAAATGAGCCTATTTTCAAAAATAGTGGAGTGTTCCTTTAAATTAGACCAATCTAAGATTTCATGCAACTGGCTTACAAAGTAAAGACCAGTCTTAAAGAAAAAATGTAGATGACTAACTTGTAAGATGAGTCTAAAACAGTTTTATGCAACCGGCCCCAGTGTATGATCAGTTGTTTAGTGTATGATGACCAGGTTTACCTCTGACTGTAACAAAGTCTGTAAGTGTATGATGCCCAGTGTTTTAAAATCTGATCAGATTAGATTTTAAAAGTCATATAGTGTATTCAAGCCTTTAAAATCTGGTCAGATTTTAAAAAGTCATTTAATCCATTCCAGCCTTAATATGCTGATTTGATGACCACTGTATGGCACTCACTAAAAGTCATGTGACAAGTCACAACAATGAATGATACTATTGCATAATGTTATGTCACAATTTTTTCCATTCCAAACATATTCTTAATTACTGCTTTTTCTCATTTTTAGTAAGTATATTGTGCAGTATGTAATAATGACTACACTAGTATTCCATTCTGAACTTACTCTAGATAGTTTTTATATACTATTTGATTACACTATGTACAGAGTAGTAGTCAGTAAGTAGTACACTGAAAAAAAAAACTGTTGGATTAACATAAAAATATGTACATCGGTTCCACATATTAAAGTTAGATTTACTCAACATGATTTTTATATGTTAAAGCTACATAATTTATGTTTGTTAAATGAACATGATTTAAATATGTTAAAGCTATATAATTTCTGTTTGTTAAATTATCATGATTTATATATGTTAAAGCTATATAATTTCTGTTTGTTAAATGAACATGATTTATACATGTTAAAGCTTCATAATTTGTTTGTTAAATGAACATGATTTATATACGTTAAAGCTACATAATTTATGTTTGTTAAACAAGCGTGATTTTAATATCTTTCATTCATATGTGCAGTGGTTTCTCAATAAATAAAACTATCCTGGTTAGTTCTAGTTTTAGAATACTGTAAGCTGGCTTTCATAAATACATGTGTTTTGTACATCTACTAGTCTTCGCTACAACATTAATACAATTTTTAAAAAGTAGCAAGACAAGCAAAAACATTTCTTGAATCAATTCACTGTATTTTTAACAGTACAATACATTTTCACAGAGTATGTGCTACAGAAACTTTGTGTTAAGATAAAAAATTGCTTAAATTCCATGAATGAATGACTACGAACGATGACAGCATATCCTGTCATTAGACAATTCAGAGAGAGTAAAATTCAACTAAACAAACATTAAGTAAAAGACAAGACACCAACAAACAGGTGCTCTGGAAAAGGTTAACAGTAATGATGAGTATAAAGTAGTCCAAAGTACAATATATGTTTTCACTGAGCATATGCAACAGAAATTAGCTTTCTCTGTGTGAAGTTAAAAACTGCTTCATGGAATGTAACGAATAACTATGAACAATAACAGCATATCTCCGGTCATGAAGTAAAAGACAAGACACCATCAAACGTGTAGTGGAAAAGGTGGACAATAACGAGTATTAAGTAGTCCCGAAGCTTCCCTTGACGTTTTTGTTTTGTTTTAAAAGCAGTAAGACGAGTCAAAATTTTGTTTAACTTTCTTCAAGAATGTTCATTTCTGAGTGGACATTCCATTTTAACCAATCAGGTTTTAATCACTCAGGTCCTTTTAACCAATCAAATTTGACCTGGAAAAAAAACAAACTATACACATCAAACAACCACAAAATAAACAGTTGCCAACCTACTCCATAAACAGTTGACTCCGTATGTGCGGTATAAGTTTTCTTTGTGAGTGTGTGAAATAAAAAAAGAAACACAGTGGTCCTTATTCCGAGAGGAAGTACCTGCCGTACGTTTCTAAGAACTTGAGCTTTCTTTGATAAGAGTGCAGCCTTCCAGCTCCATGACTTCTTTCTGCAGTACCTCAAAGGTATATTTCATTTCAGGTGGGTAGTTGAGATTTAAAGCATACATTAGACCAAAAAGCATTGCCGTAGCTAATGCAAAGTTGTCCAAGCCTTGCAAGACGTTCTGGCCTTCAAGGACAATCCTGATGTCCTGAGATCCGTCATGAAATTTAAAGACGTAGATTCCCACTGTGGTGGTCTCATTGGATTTTTGGATGAAGGCTTTGTCAACAGTCTGCAGAATGCACAGACGAAATTTGATTTAACAGAACATTGGGCACTACAAATTTTTTTTATTTCAATCAATTAATAATGTAGATCTAATGAAAAATGTGAACTTGTATATAATGTATATAATATACAAGACAAGGCCAAGAAAATCACGTGACGTGGGGTAAATTTAGTTCCGCTATGGGTCCGCTATGCTCTTTTCTCAAATGTCCCTTCTTACCTTTTCTGTTTTGTCCGGTTTCCTATTTGCTGTTGTATAATCTACAAATAAATTATTTTCTACTTGACAGAACATTGGGCACTACAAATTTTTTTTATTTCAATCAATTAATAATGTAGATCTAATGAAAAATGTGAACTTGTATATAATGTATATAATATACAAGACAAGGCCAAGAAAATCACGTGACGTGGGGTAAATTTAGTTCCGCTATGGGTCCGCTATGCTCTTTTCTCAAATGTCCCTTCTTACCTTTTCTGTTTTGTCCGGTTTCCTATTTGCTGTTGTATAATCTACAAATAAATTATTTTCTACTTGTTTGTAGCTTATACGGCCACTCAGAACGTTGCTCGAATTTACTGGCGGGTGGTTTTATTTCACCAATTATCATACAGTATAGGCTACACGGCTACTCATTCAACAAATCCCCTGCTCGCTTTTTTTTTTTATGTAAAACCATATTAGAGGTAGAAGACATTATAAGACTAGGCCAATAAAAATAATAATAATATTAATAATATAAAGATACAAATATACTAATATTAATGAAAATACACTATTCTTAAAAAGGTTATTTATCACACTATTGAGGTCCTATATAGCACTTTCAAAGCATGGTTCTTTATGGAACCTTATAAAAAAGGGTTCTATTTAGCACCAAAAAGTGTTCCGAAGAACCCTAATTTGGTACTGTTTAAAACCATTTCAAGTGGGTTTTTTTACACTGCAAAACAAGAAATGCCACAAATATCACCGCAAATTTTGAGAAAAGATGCTGCAATTTCAGTCATTTTAGGCCAGAAATAAGAAAAAAAGGTCCCGCAAAATCCTGGAGGGACTGATCAATAATCTAAGTAGTGAGTGGTTTTTTTATGAAATAATTTTTGGTAACACTTTACTTGAAGGGGTGTGCATAAGACTGACATGACACCTTCATAATCATGACATGACACATGTCATGAATATGAAGGAGGTTTTATGCATGTTTATGACAACTGTCATTAAGTGTCATTCGCTCAGTTATGTCATTTTTAATGCAAATATGACATTATTTGACCTAACCCTAACCTAACCCTACCCCTACCCTTACCCCTAACCATAGCCCATAACAAAGACATCTCAAACAATGTCATCTTTGCATTAAAAATTACATAACTGAGCGAATGACACTTAATGACAGTTGTCATAAACATGCATAAAAGCCTTCATATTCATGATATGTCATGTCATGATTATGTAGATGTCATGTCATGATTATGAAGGTGTCATGTCAGTCTTATGCACACCCCTTCAAGTAAAGTGTAACCTAATTTTTTTATGAAAGACAGATCTAAATTAATGAACCTTTATAATTGTACTTACCACATACTCTTTCACTAAATTGTCTGGATCCTCGTTGAGGTATACGCAGAGCCCCTTGATAATACATTCTCGTCCAATATCGACATCATTGTCCTGGCCAAGGGTGACAAGCAGAGCAGAGGATTTTTTCTAAATAAATTTTTACCCCCACTGATCTATATAAATGATTGGATTGCTCATGCAAATTCAACAATCCCCCCCATTGCCATTTTTTCCCTGTAAGGTAGTGTTCCATTCTGAACATAGCCTAATTCTCTCTCTCTCCCTCCAGTGTTTTCGCCCCTGTCCCTGTCACTGTCTAATTCTCTGTGGGTTTGGGTACCTGTGGTGACTGTGTGTCTGTGTGGGTTTGGCATCCTGGTGTTAGCATATGAGTGTGTGTGAGTCTAAATCTCTGTTGGTTAACATCTCTGGATACTTTCTGCCTAGTGTGTGTAATTCTTTACATTTTGGGGGTCCATCTTGTTCTCTGCTCTCTCTGTGACTCAGGCTGCCATTTCTATTTGCATCCTCCCTTTCTCTCTCCCTTCTTCCTTCTGTGTCTCCATCTCCGTCTCCTCACTCCTTCATATTCATATCCCCCCCCTCTTTGCATATCTATTTCTGGTGCCTATTTCTATCTCTCCATGCAAACATCACCACCCTGTTTCCTCATTACCTCCACTCCATATAACACACACACACCCTTGAGTCTCCTGTGTATCATTCTCTCATCACTGTATGATTCCACATCTATTTGATTTTTCTCCCGTAGCTGATTCATTCCCTCCTTCTTTGAACTCTGACCTTTGAACTTTGCTCTTAGGAGTGTCCCCTAAACCCCAAGGCAGTGAGCCTGGGAGAACTGTATGGAGAATATAACCTCTCCACCAATGAGTGGACAGACGGCGTGTGCAGGTATGTTTTGTGTTTAGTTTTATTCTTTTTTTGTGTGTGTGTGTGTGTGTGTGTGTGTTTTGTTTTTTTCTTTATGTGTACCCTGTGTAAGCTTTCAACTTAACTTGAGTTTAAAGATAGGAAACAAAATATTGTGTACGATTTGGATTCAGCTGTTTGTTTGGAGTCAAATATATATGCATATGCAGACAGCAGTCTGTGGTAGATTTCTGTAGCAGTGCACTTTAATCACTACTCTCTCGCTTCTCTCTACTTCACACCAATACAACGTCAAATACATTTGCCTCCAGAACTGTCAAAACTTTTTAAAGAAAAACAATCTCAGGTGTCTCATTAAAGGGAGAGGAAGCTTGGCGAGTCTGTTTTGCAGCCTTAGTATTGATTTGTTTTTAGTTTGAAAGAGTATCATTGTTATAATAGACACTTTAATGATATTAATCATAGTGCTGAATGATTGCCAGTTTAATTGAAGTTTAAAGAAACATTTCTGGTGTGGTCCTTCTATAAAAATAGAAGAAACATTGGTTTTGGCCACTGATGTACGCACTACAGCCTTTTAAATTCTAGTTAACACAGTAGATTAATGCCAGTTAACATTCATTTAATAAAGGTTCACGCAATTATTGCAAATAAATTAAAAAAATGTCTTGCATTCAAATCTTTCATAGTTTTTCATATAGAATGCCCACTTTCAGTAAATTCTTGATGTATATTGTAATTTGTTTTCTCGTTCATTTTTTTTCTGAGTGACACATTGCAGAAATAAAAAGGTAGTGAATTTGGTTTTATGTCGACTTTAAGGCTTGCGATCATCAAGAAATTTAGAAACTTGCTGATAGCAGATGCAAAATAAGCTGAAGCACTGACAGAGACAGTGGAAAGATAGTCAATGAATCCTGATGTGACAAGAAAGAACAGACATAAGAGAGAAGGAAAGAAAGAAGCAAAGAACGAGTGAAAATGGTTGTAGAAAAGTTTGCTTATTTGTTTTCTTTTTGCCATCCCGTCCAGCCTGGTCTCTATCCACAAACCCTCTCTGTCTCTGTGCCAGTCTCGAGTATCACAGGAAATCACATAGCTTGTTTTTTTTCCCCAGCCTTTCTCTTTGATCACTATGCAGCCTGCTAAAACAGCAGGGATTGGCGGCACTTGTGTGTGTGTTTTGTCAGTTTTTGTACTCATGTTCTTTGTACAATCCAATATGAAGTTTGTCAATCTGTCCGAAGTTAACTTTCAAGTCGTTCACAAAGGATGCGTCGTGTTATTCTGATATTTCTTAATTATTGGTCTATGTACACATGCAGAGTTACATCTTGGGTTGTTATGTCTCTCAAAAATATCAGTTTTTATTATTTTAATTATTTATATTACAACAATGTGTAATTTTTTTTGTTCTTTATTGTAGTGTATCTCAGTGTTTTGTGATTTGTAGCTGCTGTCACACTGATCTGGTCTTTCATTTTTTTGATATCCACTGTCTCTCTCTTCATCTCTGTCTTGCAGATTATTCTGAACTTGACCAACTAACAACTCAAATCCTCTCTCTTTCCATTTCTCACTCTCTCTTTGAGTTTTTCAATTTCAGTATAGTTTGATTTATTGGCATGACAAATAACTACCTTTGTATTGACAAAGCATTTGCAGCTCAACAACAAGTTTGAAGTATTTTTAAAAGCTTGCAATCTGAAAGTTTTCAGTTTGGAGTAGTTTAACAGTTAAAATAGTTTTAAAGATTAAAGTTTGAATGTTTTCAAGGCAATACAGTCTATCAGAAAAACAGATAGGTATAAAACACATTGATAAGGGTACCTGGGGTGGTTGCTAGGCTGTTTCTAGCATGACTAGCATGTTGCTAACATATTTTTAAAACTGTTTCTAGCATGATTACATGATGTTAGCATGATTAGCAAGTTACTAGCATGTTGTTAGCATGATTAGCATTAGAGGTCTGCAAGCCCATCGGGGCCCAACACGCGGAGTCCATTCGGGCCGGGCTCGGGACATTTTTTTTTTTTTACAGATCGGGCCCGGGTCTGACTCGGGCTCATTTAGCTTCTCTCCTTTTATTGTGCCCATATACGCAGAGCACACATAGGCTACTGTATGAAATATTGTTATATTGATTATATTATAAATATTATACATTGCCTACGCAACGCACATACACACACATTAGCATATAGGTGACAGTTGACCATGCACAGCATCAGGGAGAAGTTGGAGCGTGGGGAGTTACTAAAAGTTCCCAATGCTTCGGAAAAGTTGTATTTTGGAAGAGTCTTGATTTGATTATCACGGCAAACAGTGAGTCAATTGGTCATGAGCAGTACAGAATCTGCAAACATATCCTTGTACTTGACAGCAAAAAACAAACACAATAGGCTAAAGCCCCAACAAAAGTAATTACCTTGAATGTGTCGGGGGGGGGGGGGAAAATGAGATTTT